GGCAAACCTACAAAATTACACTGAAGATCCGTTTAGGTGAAACCTAGGTAGGTTTGCCTGGCTGCTTAGGATTATCTTAGTTTTTGCTGTACTTCATGCATTGAGCACTTTATGTAGTTGCCTTTTACACGTTTTGGAGATTTTTTTTTCTTTGGACTTTGAGCTTGGACTCTGGACGATTGTTTTCGCCTTAGTTTAATGTTCTTGGTTCTTTCTTTTTTTATTCCTCATTTTTCCTTCGGTACCGATTTGTTTTATTACAAGTCGAACTATCCAAGGTTTTTCCACCATTTATATATATATATATATATATATATATATATATATTTTGAATAAAAGACAGACCACGTTAAGATTCCATGTAATAAGCTATTTCACCATAACCCCTTTAACAGGGTTCTGGATCATCAGACTTTACTTCCAAAAGCTGAAATGAAAAATGAAAAGAAATTCACACGTTTTTTTACGGACCTCATCAAGTATACGTAAAGTTAACGAAGTGAGGAAGTGAGGTGGGAGAGAGGATATGAGTATGTCATATGTATCATTTCAATTTCCTATTTTTAACCCCAGTGTGTCGGCTAGATGTTGCTCAAATTTAACGCGTCTCGTCTCTAGATATAGATGGCTAAGGGGTGAATGAGAAGAACGACATTAAAGGAAGAAGTTACAACAACCCCAATCAATTACACGACAGGTTTCATTCAAATTCTTAGACGCTGTCAGTTCGCGTTACTTTAACTTTAAATGGAATATATATATATATATATATATATATTCCATCGCAAGCTATTTATTATCCTGATTATTATATTTTTTATTGTTTGATTTTTGCCCTCCAATACGGAGCTCACGTCTTCTGTCTTCTTATAGTTAAAAGTTAGAAGTCATGGCTATTAGCAAAACGATCATCCAAAACGTAAGCTTGAAGGGTAAAAATCAAAGTATAAAGAAATTTAACAATCACGATAATATACGAGCTGGCGTCGGACAATTTGACATCGAAATCCAAAGACGCATAGTTATGGCGAAAATGCCTTACAGAAAGGAAACAAAATATTAAAAGAGGAGATTATTGTTAGAAACAAAAAAAACTGCCTCGTCAGTCATGTATCGAAAGATACATAATCGCCTAAACATGTATCATGCATGGCACATAACTGACTGAAATTCACTTACATGCTAATACCCTTGGGAAAATTATGAATTCTCTTCTCCCCCCTCCCCACCCCAGTTATTGGTAAATAGCAGGACAGACCGGGTTCTGTAACCTTAGATGGCAACTGTTCTACCGCAGAAAGAAGTGGCAACCTACTGCGGGAAAAAAATCTGCCTCGTCAGTCATGTATTGAAAGATACATGGTCACCTGAGCGTATATCATGCATGGCACATAACTGACTGAAATTCACTTACGTACTAATACCCTTGGGAAAGGTAAGAATCCTCTTCTCCCCCTCCAGCTATGAGTAAATAGCAGGACAGTTCGGGTTCTAGAGCTTTGGATGGCAACTGATCTACCGCAGAAAGAAATGGCAACCAACTGCGGGAAAAAAATCTGCCTCGTCAGTCAAGTATCGAAAGATACATGATCACCTAAGCCTGTATCACGCACGACACATAACTGACTGAAATTCGCTTATATGTTAATACGCTTGGGAAAGGTATGAATCCTCTTCTTCTCATCCCCAGCTATGGGTAAATAGCAGGATAGACCGGGTTCTGTAACCTTGCTTGGCAACTGGTCTACCGCAGGAAGAAATGGCAACCTACTGCGGGGAAAAAAATCTACCTCGTCAGTCAAGTATCGAAAGATACATGATCGCCTAAGCGTGTATCACGCATAGCACATAACTGACTGACAATAGTTATTCCTTTCTTCACGCTTTCTTTGGCTACCCTGTCTAAGAGTTCTTTCTGTTTACCATCAGAGTCTGCCATCAACACAGCGTTATCCGCATATTTTACTAAGCAAGCAGAATTTTTTATTGTACCGAAATACGCCTTAAAATGATTTCTGAAATGCAGATTAAAACTAAATTTTCTAATGTATTAATTAATGTTATAAATTGATAATCTTCTTTCCTCACGAGGCAATAGTTTCATAATAGAATATTTATTCCAATGTCGCAATTTCAAAACAAACTGCTATTTTTAATGTCTGCTATTAAGCGAATTCCTATTGCGATGCAGTTAGATACGGAAGGCCTCGCTTGGCCTTACTGAAAAGCATTGAAATGATTAAAGACAATCATCTAAAAATAATGTCTAATCTAGAGCAATGAAACGACATTACAATTGGCTGTAATAATCAATTCTTCGAAATACAATTATAGATTCCCGTGAAATTATATTTTTCAAATTTATTATATTTGTTGTCATAATTTTAATTGCAACTTACGATAGAAAGACGCATCGTCCTTGACTTTAGTAGTCTTTTTCTAAATGAACAATAGGAAACGGGGAGTGAAAGAAGACATCAAAGCGAACGTGAAAGTGAAAGTGTGAAAGTAGAAATTGAGAAAGAGAAAGTGGATTGCTCGTACAAACAGAAAGCTTTTGATGCTGCTGCTAATGTGAATACTGATGTTATTATTGATGACACTGCTATTGCTAGAGAGTGGGCGGTTGGCGTTGCATTAGTAACAGCAAAAATAGTAGTAGTAGTAATAGTAGTAGTAGCGTAATGGCTTTTAAACCAAATACTGAGAACAGTAAATGTCGATACTCTGAAAGTAGCAGTAGTGACAATAATCGTTGTCCATTTCCATACAGAATCTTCATTATTAGAAACCTGACAGTTAACTGATAGATTTGTAATGAAAATACTGACCACGGCTTCTGTGGACGCATACAGATCTTGAATAACCTGACTGATTTATTGCACGTGCTGGGTTATTCATATTAAAGTTAATATTCTCGTTGCTATAGTAACGCTGTGATTCAATCTTTCCTTTATATAGAGCAGATATGTAGTAGCAATAAGAAGTCGTCGCCGTCGTCGTTGAGGCTGGAATATAATTATTGCTTCCAGTACGAATGAGAAAGGCTGGTTTTTATGACAATAGCCGCTCTGTTGGGCAGGGATGGTTAATGTGGTCATTGTGCCGAAAGTGGCAGTGGCCTTTCTTTGAATTTGTTCTTGCAATGAATGACCCGCGCTCAAAAGATTCAATAGCATTATTATTACTAGCCGTGGTAGTAGTTGCGGTTGCTGCTTTGATTGTCGGAAAATTTCTATAGCGAGTCACTATTTTGGTAGTTTTATATTAGGTAAATGTGTGACAAAATGGAAAACGTTTTGTATGACGCGTTTCATTTTTGAGAACATTATCAAACTCAAGTAATATTATTTTAATATAAAAACTCAATCGTTGGTTAGGATTAGACACAACAGGAAATACTGGAGATTCGGAAGCGCTGGAATGTTTAAATTTAAAATTATTATTATTATTTTTTTAATTTTGTCTTCGTCTATAGTCTAACCAATATAATTCAGTTTCTTTATTCTTTTTTATATTTTTAATCGTTTCATTCCAGACAAGACACAATGGGTTACTGAGTGTGAAAGAACATGAGAAAAAAAATCATCATTAAGCAGAGAGGACAATAAAAGAACAGGATTTAAGAAGATCGAAGATGACGATTGGCATTGCATTTAAATTTAAATTATACTTTTGTTTTTATTTTTATCACTTTTATTACGAAGTATCCGACAGTGTAATAAAGCTAGATCTGCCAAGTTAAATGTTATGAGAATCTGGATGTAAATTTATAGCGATCAAAGCACTTTCTATATATTTTAAATTAATAAATTGAATTCGTTTTTTAATTAAAGCAGAATATCTAAAATCGAAATTATGATCAACCTCATTACAGTGATCGACTAATACACTGAGGGTCTTGTTTTGTAAACGATCCCTTTTGTTTTCATATAATCTTTTATTTAAATTGCTAGAAGTTTCTCTTATGTATTCATTGTGGCAATCATTACAGGTGATAGGAAAAATCCTCCTTCAAGTTTTAGTTTATTAGTAATTTGCTTTGAATTAAGTTCTTAATTGTTTTAGAAGTAGCTGATTGTATTTGTAGTTTTACATTTAGATTTAGTAGAATAGGCGATGATTATAACAATTTAAATAAAATTGCTACCTCGGCTTGAAGCCATTTTTTGATAATTGATCCGACATAGTTTAGGCAATTTTGAATGAGATAGACGCCACCGCATCTAAACTACCTCTTTACCTATTACGTTAAACTGGTTGTGTGGATTGGCGAAAAGATGCAGTTTACTACTCTGATCAGTTGTCCTCCAAACACGAACTCGGCCTTCTGTTTGAAAGAGCTGGAAATGTGACTCATCTGATCAAGGACACGATGTTATTCTTCCACAGCCCAAGTAAGGCCTAGTAACCGATGCTGAATATCAAAAATTATACAATTTTTCTCTTCAGAATCTATCTTACATATCTACTATTCGTCCATGCTTGGAATATTGCTACTACATACGGTCCTGTGTCCCTGCTATTTACCGTAAGCTCCTTGATAAAATCCAAATAAGAATCTGCAATATTATTGGTTCTGATCTGGCAGTTCGGCTTCAGTCACTTTCCCCGCCGCCGTAAGGCTGCCTCTCTGTCATTTTTATAAATATTTTCATGGGAATTGTTCGAATGGTCTCTTCGCTTGGTATCTAGAGTTTTTGAATTTCAGCGCAGCACGAGAGTGGTGTTGAGATCTCATCAGTTGACAGTTGAGCTAACTAGATGTAACCGTAAGTTTTTTGCTTACAGTTTCTTTTCTCGCCTATAATACCTCATTCCGGTTCCATATTTTCCAGCTAAAGGTAATCTGAAAAAATTTAAATGCAATGACAATCGCTATCTACTGTCATCCGTATTTCTCTCTTCTCCTTCTGCTCATCATTAATGTTTCTGTTCCTAATTCTTCCACACCCTGTAACGCCCTGCATTTTAGTGGATTTGCTTGGGGGGTGTACCGATTAGAAAAGAAGATAGATAGATAGATAGATAGATAGATAGATAGATAGATAGATACGCACGCATGGACTCTTCCAGCTATAAATAGGAGCAGGTACTGCCTTTTGGAGAGAGGGCAGTTTCCAGCTGTCAGCTCTGACATTCTTGCTGTAACACACTTGTTTGTATATGTTTGTATTACTGTTTCTGTTAATATATTTGTTTAACTCAATTCCTCTCTTTGTGTTTTTATTTCTGGCCACAACAAAACCACAACACATTTCTATATAAAAAATTTACCTACAATACATATTTATAGCAAAACTATCGAATTAATTAAAAACTCTCAAGAAAAGTAAATTTCGGCATTAAATGACCCATAAGGAGTTATGCCAGTATACAAACAAATCGATCAATCATCTATTGATCTAATAATATTATATATTTTGTCAGAATGATCCCAGCACAGAAGGACTGTATATCTTACAGATACTACACTCTGATCCGCAAGAAAACCATGCAGTGGTCGTGCGTTATAAACAAGTAGAATGATAATATCAATAACACTCTTTCCTTTTTTTTCCTGAGAAATAAAATACTTTATTCGTTTTAGTTGAAGAAAAAATTCTTGGCTCCGTCTCTAAATCTGAGAATCTACGCTGATTTACAAATCACGACATTTATCAATGAGATGAAATTTAAATGTTTATTAATGCATTATTCCAAAATTTTAACACATCAGCAAATAGCAATTAACGTTAACTGAGCACAAATAATTATTAATTTAAAAAAAATAGTAATGAATATATAATAGTATCCCTAACTATATGTATAAGAGTGTCTTTTTTAATAAAAGTTAAAAAAATAAGCATAAATACATAAAAAATGCGTATATTGTGGAAAATTCCTTTTCCCACAATATAGCTATTTCTGCGATGTTATAATGCTTATTATATAAACAATAATAATACTGAATAAATTTTTATTATGGCATTATTCCAAAATTTTAATACATCAGCAGATAGCTATTAATGTCAACAACTGATCACAAATAGTAATTAATTAAAAAAAATTCGTAATTAATGTATTATTTTAAATTTATTGATCAATATAATCAGAAGACCAGAATCGATTTTGTGCCCGAATTTTCGTAGAATCTTTGGGTACACTATTTACATTACTCGGACTATTGTCCTCATCTTTTTGCCATATTTATTACAACGTTTCGGCCCTTCAGTATCTGTCTATATTTCTGAGATGAGGTATTATGTACACTATTTACATTATTCGGACGATTGTCCTCATCTTTGTCGCCATATTTATTACAACGTTTCGGCCCTTCAGTATCTGTCTATATTTCTGAGATGAGGTATTATGTACACTATTTACATTATTCGGACGATTGTCCTCATCTTTGTCACCATATTTATTACAACGTTTCGGCCCTTCAGTATCTGTCTATATTTCTGAGATGAGGTATTATGTACACTATTTACATTATTCGGACGATTGTCCTCATCTTTGTTGCCATATTCATTACAACGTTTCGGCCCTTCAGTATCTGTCTATATTTCTGAGATGAGGTATTATGTACACTATTTACATTATTCGGACTATTGTCTTCATCTTTGTTGCCATATTTATCACAACGTTTCGGCCCTTCAGTATCTGTCTATATTTCTGAGATGAGGTATTATGTACACTATTTACATTATTCGGACTATTGTCCTCATCTTTGTCACCATATTTATTACAACGTTTCGGCCCTTCAGTATCTGTCTATATTTCTGAGATGAGGTATTATGTACACTATTTACATTATTCGGACGATTGTCCTCATCTTTGTCGCCATATTTATTACAACGTTTCGGCCCTTCAGTATCTGTCTATATTTCTGAGATGAGGTATTATGTACACTATTTACATTATTCGGACGATTGTCCTCATCTTTGTTGCCATATTCATTACAACGTTTCGGCCCTTCAGTATCTGTCTATATTTCTGAGATGAGATATTATGTACACTATTTACATTATTAGGACTATTGTCCTCATCTTTGTTGCCATATTTATTACAAAGTTTCGGCCGTTGTATGCTCCAGCCTTCTTCAGGTGCTTGGAATGTCGAACTGAACCCTTTATTTCGCTCACTGGGGTAGACTGTTCTAGTTCCACTTGCCATGTCTAATGGATGTCAGTTATCAGTTATCTCCTGTTAATTCCCCTCTCCAAGTTCTCCACTGCCTTAACCTACTTAATCTTTCCTTGTGAGTATCAGATTTTCCAAACCCTCCTTTCTCATTACGTTCCACAGATATTTCAACTTTTTTTTCCTGATGTTAATTATAAGTTTCTTTTTTGTTTCATTTTTCTCTAAAACAACGTGGTTGTTCACATGTTCAGTCCATGGTATCCTCAACATCCTTCTGTAGTACTACGTTTCTGTTGCTTCTCGTCTCTTATTCATCTTTGAAGAGATTGTCCAGCATTCATTGCCAAATAAGAGGGCAGATATCACGTAATAATTCAGTAGCCTTTTCTTTGTTTCTAACGAAATTTTCCTGTCTCTTAATATTCTGCTTAGCTTTTGGAAGGCATCTTTGGCCATCCCAATCGGATTTCAGTGTAGCACTTTCCATCCTCTGTTAAAACAGTTCTCAGATATTTAAATCTTTTTTTACCTGCCTGATTTTGGTATTCTCCGTTTTGTAATTTGCAATTTGGACTCATCTGCTGCTATGTTTATAGAAATCTACGACTCTGGGTCGTTACCATATTCCCAATGGGGTAATATCATACCCACATCAAACAGATCGATCCTACCGTTACCTAGAATGACAGACCAGCTTAACGCAAAGTCTCAAATTTGTCTGAAGATACCAGAATAAATTATTCTATATTTATTCTGTTATTTCCGGTCGCCATCTAAAATTTCCTGGAAAAGATATCTATTTTATTTTTACGAAAACATTATTTGCTCCGGATGTAAACAGTAGCAATAGACTATTAATATGTTATTTGTATTGAATACGGATATGCTATGCATATATAAATACATTTAACTTGCGAGAATAATTCTGGCAATATTGAAATCCGTCTGATATTATTATGGAAATCACATAAACCTCAATAACTCGAATTTGGTTTGAAAAATGTTTGTCAAATTTTAAACGTTTAATTTAGACGACAAAACGAATCTTCGGGTGGTTGGCAAGATGGCGTCTCGATTAAAAGATGAGCCTCACAAAATGGAGTGGCTCTTGCTGCGTCAATGTTGTAAGGTAATGCTTTTGCCATCATTGCGAGTGGCAGAAGAGATAAAAAATTTTGAATATAATAAGTTAACTCCCTTATTTCTCCAGTAAAAACAAATTCGGTAGTTTCAACACGTTTTATTAAATCTATTGGTGATGTCGCTTCCCTCTGTCTTTTCTCCAAATATTTTCATGACAACTGCTCTGGTGAGATTTTTTCCCTGGTGCCCCGACTACATGAATTTAAGCGTGCTACTAGATTGGCATTTAGGTCCCACCCATTTACTGTTGAAATAGCTAAATATAACTAGCACTTCTACTCCAACAGTTTCTTTTCTTGCACTTCCCAACAGCGTAACTCCCTTCCTCTTATTGCTTCCCTGATAACTACAATCTTCAAAAATTTAAATACAACGTCAACCGTCATCTTCTGTTGCGTTGACCCCCGTTCATCTTTTATTCTTTCCTCAATCTATCTATACCCAGTTTTTGCCCTTACTTTCGATCTCTGTCAACCCCTGCTTGCCCCTGAAACGCTCAAATAATATATATATATATATATATATATATATATATATATATATATATATATATATTTTAAGTTGAATGAAGTGTTTGTTTTATGTTTCATTTGTTTTTACATATTTAAAATGTCTTCCTTTCTCCCATTTCTCAGTACTAGGCCTTATAGCCTACTCGCTACTTGAGTTTTAGAAGCATGCAATCAAGGAGTTGTTCCCCGGCATCACCCGACCACTGGTCATAGTTAAACTTCGGTCCCTATTTTGCATACAGTCTGTTTGGATTTCTTAAAGACAGACCAAATTTAATGAGGAAGAAAACCTTAATTAAACTTCTCACTTGTTCACTCACACACTCTCTCGAAGGCAGAAAGTTTAACCGAACAACTGAAAAGATTTCAGCTGGTATATTTAACAGCACCCGCACGCGGGTCGTATGTGTCACAAGTCCGAGTTTATAGTGGGTTCTCCAAGCCCGTAGGTTCGGACAAGAATATTCCTTTCGAACCCGTATAAACGTGTTCAGGGTCGGTCTACCTCTCCGAACGAGACTCTGCTCTTCGGCAAAGCTTGGTCTGGGTTCCTGTCTATCCGAAGGCAGAGAGTTCAACCGGAAAGCTGAAGAGTTTTCAGCCGGAATATTCAGTCAGCTCCAACCACAAGGGTTGCATGTGGCACAAGGCCAGGTTTAAAATGTCCGTAGAAGCCGCATAAACGGGATCGGGTTGGTCAACCTCCCTGAACGAGACTCTGCCCTTCGGCATAGCCTCGTCCGGGTTCCTCTCTGCTCAGAGGCAGAGAGTTCTACCTGCCAGCCAAAAAGTTTTCAGCCTGAATATTCAGCCAGCCCCTACCACGAGGGTTGCATGTGGCACAAGGCCAGGTTTGACGTGGGTTCTTCGATCCCGTAGGCTCGGCTAAAAAATGCCCGTAGAAGCCGCATAAACGGGATCGGGTTGGTCAACCTCCCCGAACGAGGCCCTGCCCGAACGAGGCCTTCGGGTTTCTCTCTGCTCAGAGGCAGAGAGTTCGACCTGCCAGCCGAAAAGATTTCGGTCGAACTTCCTGTCCGCTGCCCGAACGGATACTTATAGGTAGTTACCACCTATAGTGCTGCGACTCATGGGGTGGCAGGTTATTCCATTACATCGATTATGCTATATCAGTATGATTCTACAGTCGTTTACAGTTGACCAGTTCCTCAACTAATATAAGTATCATCTGGGACTACCCAGTCCAATGATGTACACTATTTTACCAAAGAAATGTACCGTCTGGAACAGTCTTGCAAATAATAAACTTTTTCATCATTTTAAACCATTGGCGATTTTCACTAAGGAAGACCATACGTGTAAACAATTTGCTTTAGAAACCAGAAACGATCATAAACATTTTTTTTGTAGAAGAAATATATTTTTCGGTAGCTTCAACATGTTTTATTAAAATTAATGGTTATAAAAACTGTAGTCTGAATTTATTATACAGATTAAACTGATATTAGTTTAAGGCCTGTGAAATTTAATAAAAACTATTTTTCTTTTATTTCAATAATACATGTTGAAAAATGGGCAAAGGGAAGGATTTAACAAATGTTGAAAAACCGTAAAGTTATTGGCTGAGGGAATTTCTGCATTGGAGAATATCAAAGGTGTGTAGCGGGCCGTTAGGGTTTAGTTACGTTGAATTGGGAACACGTGCGTTTTTTTCCTGCTAGAAAGGTCCAACTAAAAGAAAATGGCGGACTTGAATTAAGTCCAACTGAAGATGAAAAGAAAACAAACAAGACCGATATTTTATCCTTCTTAGGTTTACCCATACGGATTACCTAGTTTTTCATAAACTATATATATATATATATATATATATTGGATAAAAGACAGACCACGTTAAGATTCCATGTAATAAGCTATTTCACCATAACCCCTTTAACAGGGTTCTGGATCATCAGACTTTACTTCCAAAAGCTGAAATGAAAAATGAAAAGAAATTCACACGTTTTTTACGGACCTCATCAAGTATACGTAAAGTTAACGAAGTGAGGAAGTGAGGTGGGAGAGAGGATATGAGTGTGTCATATGTATCATTTTAGTTTCCTATTTTAACCCCAGTGTGTCGGCTAGATGTTGAATGATAAGAACGACATTAAAGGAAGAAGTTACAACAACCCCAATAAATTACACGACAGATCATTCACCCCTTAGCCACCTATATCTAGAGACGAGACGCGTTAAATTTGAGCTTATTACATGGAATCTTAACGTGGTCTGTCTTTTATTCAAACATATCTGCTCTGAATTCCACATTGAGCTCTCTGGATATCATCCTCCTCAGGTCTACCCATACGGATTACCTAAATTTGCATAAACTATCTATCTATCTATCTATCTATCTATATATATATATATATATATATATATATATATATATATATATATATATATAAACAAATATATGTATTAAACAACAAATTTACAAGTCACAAAGACATCAACATTTGTGTGTGAACGTAAAGAGTTTGTTCTTTAGTGAATGTTCGTACATACGTGTATATGTGTTTCACGTAACTTACTCATTTTGAGTAGGTAGACATCTACTTATCATCACTCAGTTGCGTCTCTGTCCTTGGACAGAGTGCGCTCAGGGGCTTCTCTGTCAAAGGACAGAGGGGTAACTGAGGGAAATTATACTGAAGAGGTGCCCAGCCCTGGGGAACAGCTGCCCGAGGCCGCGCCCTCCCATTGCACAAGAGGGAGGGATCGGTGCTCACACCGAGGCCAGCGTAACCGACAATTTTTCTTCCTGTCCCGGGTGTACGCGCTCGGGTCCCTACCTACAAATAGACCTTGTGTCACATCTCGTCCTAGTGGCGGTGGGGCAGAGTAAATACCGTGTTTCATGGCGTTTTCCCACAAGTGGACGAAACGCGGATTTCTACGAGAGAATTTTTTAAATGTGTCCGCTGAAATGCAAAGTAGAAAAGAGAAAGAGACAAGAAATCGCCCAGTATTTATAGTGTAGGGAGAGTGACCCCTAGTGAACAATTAGGGAATTAAGGAGGAGATAACTCCGACAGGAGCTTCGCAGTGATCATCAAACGACAAAGAGGAACAAAGAAAATATAAAGTTGATAACCAGAATCAAAAGAAAAGCCTTTGACAGATCTTCTTCTCGGGGTGAACGTGAACTAAAGAGAGTTGTAGTGAAACGACCATTTTTGGCCAGTGCTCAGATCATTGAACAGGCTGGAATTGAGGGGGTCAAGGAGTACAAAACGCGTAGTATACTTCGAAAGGTCGGAACTGTCAAGAAATCTCAGTAAAAAAGACCTATGAGAAGTAATTAAAACCAACACTGAAAGAAAATTGAACATTTCTGCAGTAAAAAAAAAAGTAACTTACTGGGTAGCAAATGCTGGCAAAAAGATCAAAATTCAATACACACACGCGCACGCACACACACATACATACATATATATATAGTTAAACCTAGAGAGCCAAACAAACCTACCAAGGTTTCACCTAAGCGGATCGTCAGGTGAAACCTTGGTAGATTTGTCTGGCCCTTTAGGTTTAACTAGGTCTGCTCTACTCATTGTATTGAGCACTTTATTTAGTTATTTTGAATACTCGCATCATTTTTTTTTTCCTTTGGACTTTGGACTTGCATGCTAGACGATTATTTTCGGCTAATGTACATTTTCTTGTTTCTTTCTTTTTGTTATACCTTTTTTTCCCTTTGGTATTGGCTTGTTTATTTGCAAATCAAGACACCGAAGGTTTTCCGAACGAGTATAGTTTCCTATACTTATAAGATTACTACTCCTACTACTACTACTACTAATATATATATATATATATATATATATATATATATATATATATATGAAACTGTTATCCAACAGTTAAGATTTAATATTGAAATTAAACTTGAATACTGATGACTAGTTTCAAAAAATAGTAATTTCTGTGTCACGATGCAATCATATTTTTTTTTAAATAATTGTAATTTAGGCTATATAATATATTTATATATAACTTTAGGCTATATATATATATATATATATACTAGATAGTTATTCCAAACATCGATTGACTGCCACCCAACAGTTAAGGTTTAATAGTGACATTAGACTTGAATACTGATGACCAGTTTAAAAAAAAATCATTTCTGTGTCGCGATGTAATCATATTTTTAGAAAAAAATAATTATAATTTAGGCTCTACTTCTGTATCGAGCACTGTTTTTTGAAAATGAAAATACTAATGAACTTCGGATCATCAATCTAACAATTCTTTCCTATTTTATCATCATATATATACACACGCACAACACACATATATGTATCTACGTATAATAATATAACATATAATCAAGTAATTCATCGAGTCTAGAAGAAACCTCAACGGAATGCGGAAAGTCCTGGACGGCCATTTCGTCCTATATTTGGGACTCATCAGAAGTGCGCATCCACTACCGAGAATTGAAACCCGAACAGTTACGTTATCAGGCGAACGTCATATCAACTGTTCCACCGACGTTTGCCTCCTATTGTAACTGTTCGGGTTTCAATTAGGATTATCTCAAATCCTAAATTCTATCATATATATATATATATATTCAGTAATTTTAATGAATACCCTGATTATATGCCACGGATCAGTGTGACTAGACGTCCGGCTGCCTGTAGCAATGATCGAAACCCGACTGAATTGGCATCAGTCAAGGACTCTACCACTAAGCCGTTGGCACGGCAGGGATGAAGGTGATTTTAGGCGTATTTATTTTTACATAAACACACAGTGACTGAGAGAACTCGATTCGATTTACCGAAGAGTCTTGCGTTTTTAGCCGTAATAGTCACTGTTTACAAACCCACACTTCCTCAACCGAAATAAATTTTTCAGGAGCATATATATATATATATATATATATATATATATATATATCATGTAGTACCAATCGGATACAAATAATCAAGTGATGTCCACGGTGTGAACGATTCATTACAACCTTCTCCAAAAATATAAAACTAGCAACTAAAGAACAAAAAGACTCTTGAAACACATTACTTCGGTTCCATGTTTACTGAAGCTACTTAATAATTGAAGAAAATGTAATTGCACATTTACTTTTTAACAAGAATTTTGATAAATAAAAACGGAAATTATTTATGACTCAGTCTAATAGTTTCCGAATCAGTTCACACGATTTATACTTCTGTCTGAGTAACGATTTTTCTTGCTGCTTGTTGTCCAGCATCATAAAGACCGTAATGAAAATTAATTATAAAAAAAAGAAAAAACGATGTCGCTAACATAAATGAAAGAAAAGAATCAAGACTAAAAGAAAAATAATTATAAAAAAGACAATTCTTCTTATTGACTGAAAATTACATTTACTTGTCCACCTTTTTAGTACCATTTCAATATTGAGATCTGACCTTTAAATGAAAATAAAAAATATATAACGAATTCTGATCATATTAAACCGTAGAAGAAATAAAATATGGTTAGACAAATCTTGTCTGATTTAGTGAGTGCCTATAAATTATCATCACTATGGTCAGCATCCTCATCTTAATCATTTACTCTATCATCAACAACATTATATAATTCCTATAGCCATCATCTCATATCATCATCATCATAGTAAATAGCATCATTACAGCCATCATCATCACTAACCTCATCGCCATCGCAGTCGTCATTCAACTATTATTCGGCTTTTGCTTTCATAACAGCAATGACGACGACGACGACGGGCCAACTTTTCGTTGTCATAGCAACTGTAAGGGCGGGAAAGTAGGCCAGTGCCGGAATACAACGACAGGGGAGGAAGAGGAGGAGGAGGACGGTGGTAGCGGTGGGGGGAGGCGGGTGAAGGTAGGTTAGCGAGGAGCCAAGGCAGAAGAAGCACTTGCAGAACGCGCAGATGTGTGGCAGGGTCGGTGGCAGGGTCGGTGGGCTCTGGGAGGTTGAAGAGAATCGATCGATCCATCGAACGTTCGCCGGACCAACAGATGCAGTCGCGGGTACAGTGGTTGTGCGTTGGCAATGATGGCGGCGGCGGCGGCGGTGGTAGGGAGAGGGGTTGATGCGAGATGGGCGGGATGGGAGCTGTGTGTGTTGTTGTTGGTGGTGGTGGGGGGGGTCTTCTGGAGGTGAGTACACCCGACTCGCCTCTGCCGTCATCATTTGCCCGTAATGTTCATCGTGATGCCGCTTCGTGATCATGACGACGATGAACGAGGCGCATTTGGGGGGTGGCGGAAAAGGCGCATCACTGCTGCTGACGACGGTGGAAGCAAGGGTGAGGATGGCAGCAGAGAAATGGCCTAAAAAAGTCACCCAAAGAATGTAAATAAGCTTGCATATATGGATATATAAGTAAGGACAATACCAGTAATTATATCTATCTATACAATTATCTCTATCTCAATATATATATATATATATATATATATATATATATATATATATATATATATATATATATATATATATTGAGTTTACCCTGACGATCCAAAGGGTGAAACCTAGGTAGGTTTGTCTGGCTCTTTAGGGTTTACTTATATATATATATATATATATATATATATATATATATTTTTTTTAAAATATGATTCAAATAATTATATTTATGCTCTACTTTTTTGTATCGAGCACTATTTTTTAAAAATAATAACTAAAATACTAAGGGACTTTTCATTATTTACCTAACCAGTTCCTTCCTATTTTCTATATGTTTTCACACATATATATATATATATATATATATATATATATATATATATATATATATATATATATATATTATAGATAACTAGACTCGTTTGAAAAACTCGAATTTTTGATTTGCTAATAATCAAATCAATCTCGAGGGAAAAAAAGGTTTTAAAAAGAAAGAACTACAAACATGAACTTCTGCCGACAAAAAAATCGCACAGATGCAGGTCTGAAGCCCAAAGAAAAAAACCCGATACGAGTAACAACTAACAAAAGAGCTCAATACAACCATAGAGTAGAGATACACCTAGAAAGCCCAAATCTACCTAGGTTTTCATAAACGGATCGTCAGGGAAAGTAAGGCACTTTCCCTGACGATCTGTTTAGGTGAAACCTAGGTAGGTTTGTCTGGCTCACTAGGTGTATCTATATATATATATATATTTCGGAGATAATAATCGTTTAATAATGCCAGTCTTACTAATCAGTCCATAGCTTGGATGAGATCTAATCAGCTTCAGACAAAATTTCGTCTCAAGGTCCTCGACAAAATCCAGAGACGGATATGCAATATGGCTGGCCCTGATCTGGCATCTCGTCTACAGTCACATTCTCACAGACATGCAGTCGTTTCCCTGTCTTTTCTACAAATACTTTCACGGTAACTGCTCCGACGAGCTATTTTCCCTAGTTCCCAAACTGCATGAATGCGCTACTAGGCTGGCATCTCGGCCCCACCCTTTCACTATCAAAACGGTTAAATATAGTCGTCTCTTCTACTCCAATAGCTTCATGTCTTGCACTTCCCGTCTGTGGAACTCCCTTCCTCTTACTTGCTTCCCTGATAGCTATTATCATCAATTATTCAAATGCAATGTCAATCGACATGCCTTGATCTAAATCGCCGTCCTTTTCTTCATCCTTTCTTCTACTTTGGCTCCCACTCTCTTCTAAAATCTATAGAAAACAGGGGAGGAAGACGTGGGGAGACTGTTAAATATTGGCAGTGTAACCTAACTAAGTGTAACCTGACAGTTCGGATAGACACTTCTACCCGCTGACTAATAACACTCTTATTTTGTATATATGTTCTGTTATTTCAATACACTTTTTCAACCTACCTTCTTCTTTCCGTGTGTGTGTGTGTGTGTGTGTGTGTGTGTGTGTGTTGATATATTGGATCGGATTTCCTACATTTTTCAACCGATTTCAACAAAACTTCACAGGACTGCGTAAAATTACCTTGTGGTGGTTCTGATAGCGCCAAAAATTGGAAAAACACAATTGTTTTTGCACGAAATCAATTTGAAAACACGATAAAACACGATTCTGTCGCCAGAATGAAAGGGGGACAACTCATATCGAGTTATACTTATAAAACCCAGGTTGTTTTGTGTGTGTTTTTGTTTATATATGGGATCGGATTTCCTACATTTTTCAACCAATTTTATCAAATCTTCTCTTACATTCAGAATGCTTTAAAATTCCATTTACAAGACAATTGTTTACAATAAAATTCTATTCAATCGGTACACTCATAACGATTGAAAACAATGTTTTTGTTTGAGTTTGACCAATTCGTAAAAAAACAAAACAAAAACTAATTAAGACATACGTGTCCGTCAACCTTGAGCAATAATCTTTGTCAATTTTATTTTTCAGTCTTTATGATGGTCGATACTTGATCTACTGTTACATCCCCGGGCAACGCCGGGTTCTACTGCTAGTAGGCTATAAGCCTATCAAATTTTAACAATATGCATGCACTCAATTTTGTTAAATTTTACCGACAGGGTCTGTCTGTTCGTTAGCATTTTATTGTACTTTTCCAATTTCTGAATCAGATGTACATCAAGATGAAAATTGCGACTAAGCTGTTCGAAGTCGTCGTGTTTTATTCTGTTCTTTTTTCCCGCCAGTTTTTTTTTTTTTTTCGGCTGCCTTACTCATTATTAACAAGTAAGTGCATTAGACGCGATTTTGTTGGCTACATCCCAGAATTTTTTTTTTTTTTTCTTACAGGTCTGGAATTTGAATCAGTCCAATGTGACATCATGTGTAACAGTTAAATAGACGAAATCTGCACCGGAAAAACAAGTAGCAAGAATTTCTACGTATTATTATTATTATTATTATTATTATTATTATTATTATTTGGTACTCATATTAAATATTTCAAACAAGACAAAACAAAATATGAACCATGAGATTATCCAGTCCTAAACTTAACATTTAAGATTCATCAGAACAATCGACATACTGCCAAATCACATCCCATACGATCACCGAAGTTAAGCAATGTCGAGCTTGATCAGTACATATAACAGTATCCGTTAGGAATATCAAGTGTTGTAAGCTTGGATGTGCGGGTGGTGTAATGGATAATGGCTTGGAATCGTTAATTGGAGAGCCGGGTTTCAAATCCAGTTATCGTTATAGTCACTTGGGAAAAGTATAGATGAACCTCTTCCCCCAGCTATGGGTTAATTAGTAAGACTTCTATCACTAAAACCATTATTATCTTAAATAAAAAAAATTCTAAAAATCTTTCCTGGTCATAAATAACCTGCAAAGGGTTGATAAACAATAAAAAATACGAATCAATCAACTAATGTAATTTTTTTAAGCATTTCACCCCAAGGGGTTAGGGTTAGGGTTAGGGTTATTACATCGATTACACTGCCTGCCTAGGAAGTCTCGCAGGTTAGTATTTATGGAGGAGGAAGATAGGTCACCATAACACGATAATTTCAATGACGTAAAAGATATTTGTGTAAAAAGTTTTAGGAAAATAAACTCTGCAAATGTTATCATGAATCATATACTTTTTAGATTAACTTTTTTTTGATTTATTGTTTGATTTAACTTGTCTATATGTTGTAGCCTGTTTGGGAGCTAGAAAGAAAGACACGGAAAAAAGAAGGTAGGTTGAACAAGTGTATTGAAATAACAGAACATATATACAAAATAAGAGTGTTATTAGTCAACAGATAGAAGTGTCTGTCCGAACTGTCAGGTTACACTTAGTTAGTTTTCACTGCCAGTATTTAACAGTCCCCGCCACGTGGGATGTATGTGGCACAAGGCCGAGTTTACCGTGGGTTCTCCGAGCCAATAGGCTCGTCCAAAAATATTCCCTTAGAACCTGTATAGACGGGTTCAGGGCCTGTCTACCTCCCCGGACGAAACTTTGCCCTTCGGCATAACTTCGTCTGGGTTCCTCTCTGTCAAAGCAGGGAGTTCGACAAAAGTCGCACACAGTCAGAGACTGTGGGTCGACTGCCGATATTTAACAGTCCCTTCACGAGGAATATATGTGGCACAAGGCCGAGTTTAACGTGGGTTTCTCCGAGCCCGTAGGCTCGGCCAAAAATATTCCCTTTGAACCCGCATAAGCGGGTTCGGGATCTGTCTACCTTCTGTCTACCTTCGGCAAAGCTTCGCCCGGGTTCCTCTCTGCCAAAGCAGAGAGTTCGACAAAAGTCGCACACAGTCAGAGACTTCGTGTCAACTGCCTTTTTAGGAAGTCTTGCAGGTTAGTATTTATGAAGGAGGAAAGAGTTCATTCTAATGTAAATAGGTCACCATAGATATATTTATTGGAAAAGAGTGCTCAGTATTAGAGATGGAGCCTTTAGAAATTTAGACAGTGGGAATATTGAAATCGAATCGGCATTAAAACTATTAAAACATCTATAGACATACTGAAACGTGGAATTGATAATCACTACGCAGTGCTCATTCATTTGTACCCACTGACACCCTCTCTCTCTCAAGCACACACACGCACACACACATTATATCTCTCTCTATCTCTCTCTCTCTCACACACACACACACATCCAACATAATATGTCAATTGCCATGCCCCCGGCACACACAGTTATCAAATCGCCGACTTGTGACAATTCAAATATTATATATTTAATTTTTTGCAACAAATGTAAAAAAGGGAAATAATGTCGGAGAAACAGGCACGGAATTCTGTCTTCGGTTCTGTCTTAACCATTAAAAAACCCACCAAATACAACAATTTCCCTGTCGCTGTACATTACAACAGATCGGACTACAACATTGATAACATCAGATGCCTGCGTTTAGCGTTTTCATTTAAGTGCCAACAAGAACGATGTAAGTCTGAGTTGAGATACATTTTTAAAACAAAATCACATACAAAAGGATTGAACAGGAATTTAGACTTACACAGAGAATACAGTTTCTACTGGCAGACTTCTACAAACCTTCAACAACCCAAGCCGTTGCAAACTAATAAGCCAAATTTATCAAATTACTTACAGTAAGACAACACATGAAACAAGAACAAAAGAATTGCCCATTCAGTGTTTATTTCTCCTCTCGTTGATGAAGGACACAGGCGTGTGTGAACATTCAGAGTTAA